CAAATTTCATTGGGAAATCTGCTGTCAGGAACCTGTCTAGAGTGTTGAAAAGCCAGCATGTCATTTAAGAGACTAGAATGCCCCTGATCCATGCCATGGTCTTCCCAGTTACTAGTATCACATCAGAGATCTAGACAAGGTCTGAAGGTGAACGAAAAGAAATGATGCCCTTGATTTGTGGTGCTGGAGAAGAGTGTTGATATACCATGAACTACCAAGAGAACAAACAGGTGTCCTGGAGAGTGTGAATCCAAGGTGGTCCTTGGAGGGAAGGATTTTGAAACTCTGGCTCACATACTGTGGGCATATTGTCAGGAGGGTCCAGTCCTTGGAGAAGGACATCATGGAGATGGGGTGAGGGACAGCATAGGAGAGAAAGACTTTGGATAAAAAGGATTGACACAGTAACTGGGATAATGAGGGTAGGTGTGTTGCAAACAATGAGATTGGCTCTAGATCAGGGCAGGATTCAGAGCTATTATGCATAATAGGGTTGCTATGAATTGTAGGTGACTCAATGCACATAACAAAAACAATGTAGACCTTGTAAATTCAAATTTAATACACAAAACCCAACCTCGGTTTTTGAAGGCCCATGAAGAGTCATGGGTAGTTCTTGAGAAAAGTCAGTTTATGTTCTGGAGAATAATTAAGGAAGGCCCTATCTTTTTTTTTTTTAAATTTTTTATTTCCCAAGGGAAATATATTGTTGTTGTTGTCAGGTGTCTTTGAGTTAAGTGTGACTCATGGTAACCCTATGAACAATAGATCTGAACCCAGTCTGATAATCTCTTACACACTTGAGCCCATTGCTGCAGTTAATGTCTTAATCTACTTTGTTGAAGGTCTTCCTCTCTTGCCTACCCTATGACTTTCCAAGCATGGTATCTCTTTCTATTATATGAGGTTTTTAGTTCCCTTTCATCCTTAATTATTATTAGTTGTTGCTATTTGCCAACCAGCTGGAGCTGACTCATAGCTGACCCTCCGGTGGGTTTTCAGAGACAGTAAATAGCACAGGTGATTGTCCATCTTTCTCCCCTGGAGCAGCTACTGTATTCAAAACAGTTGGCAGCATGACACCTTACCACTAAACCAGCAGAACTCCCTTATTATTAGTAGCTTTGCAGTTTAAAGCACCTAAATTTTGTTTCCTCATTGGCAGTGTGGGAATAGTAGTTTCCAATTATTGTTATTGTTTTTGTTATGTGCTGTTGAGTCACTTGTAATTGACTGCAATCCTATGTACAGCAGTTCTGAGTCCTGCTTTATCCTGAACCAAAATTACTGTCTCTGATACACCTAACCCCATAACCCCAGTCACTGAGTCAGTCCATCTTATTGAGAATTGCACTGTCCCTCCATCCTCTTAATATGATGTCCCTCTCCAAGGACTGGTCCTTCCTTGCAACATGCCCAAAGTATTTCAGGTGAAGCTTCAGAATTCTTGCTTCCAGGGAGCAGCCTGGTTTCACCCTCTCTAGGACAAATTTGTTTGTTTTCCTATATTGAGTACTCTTCTCCAGAATCATAGTTCAAAGACATCAGTAATTCTTCTGTTATCCTTAGTAATTATCCAGCTTTCTGATGGAGCAAGTAATTGTGAGGTTCATGCCCTGGATCAGGTGCACCTTAGTCTCCAGGCTGACATTGTTGCTCTTCAGTACTCTGGAGAGGTCTCTACAGCAGACTTTCCCAATAAAATTTGTCTTTTGATTTCCTGGCTTTTGGTGCTAAGAGTACTGATTGTGGAGCCAAGCAAACTAAAGCTGTGAACAAATCTCTTCACGATCTGCCATGATGCTGCCAATGAGCCCACTGGTGAGAATCTTTGTTTTCTTGATGTTGAGCTTCAATCCTTATTGAAGACTGCAGTCTTTGACCTGCACCATGCGCTTCAGGTCCTCCTCATTTTCAACAAGCAAGATTGTGTCATGTACGGAACAAAAGTTGTTGATGAAACTTCCTCCAATCCTGATGCCTCATTCCTCCTCATAGACCCCAGCCTCCCAGATGATCACTGGTATACATCCTTCCCAATTTTGAACCATGCAGTATTTCCTTGTTCTGTTCACTACCTTCTAAATCTCTCATAGTTTTGGCAGTTTAGGGAAAAGTGGTAGCTTAATCTTTAAGGAGTTGTCAGCAGATGCTAACCACCCATTTAATTAAGTTCCTCTTAAGATGGTTGCTTTCAGTATAGTCAGGTGTTTCTGGCTTTCACTGTTTGAGACCTTTTGTCGTCTGTGCACCCGTACCAGAAAAACTTAGTCTGAACAGTAGTATTTTACATTCCCGTCAAGTTTAATCTTTTGACACAAATTTGTAGGTCACTTTTTTAGTGTTCTTAAGTATCTTCACAGTACTGAGTGCCGTTGAGTCAATTTCTCGATTGGATTTCCAAGGCTGGGAATGTATGTGGAAAGAGATTAACTATCTTTCTTCCATGGAACGGCTCTGGGGATTTGAACTGCTAACCTGACAGCAGCCTTATACATTGTACACTAAGCCACCTATTTAATTATGGTTAATTTGTGTCATCTTAAAAAATAAAAGATAGTAGAATTTTTTAAGTAACTGAGAAATAGAATTAAATTCTACTTGAATTAGTGTTTTGGTAGATCATGTTGAAAGGGACAAAACAAGGTTTACTTTTACGTAGCTTTCTAAGTTGATAGTGGAGGATTTAGAAAACCCCCAAAGGCTCCTGGGTACATTCTAATTGAATACTGATATGACAGTTAATACGGATTATTTTTCGGTTTACATAGGAATCACTGGCTTTTAGAATTGCTATAGCTATCAGATTTTAGATCCTAGAACTCACAGAGAGCCCTTCATATAAAAGTTATTTTGTTTTTTCTTCTTGTTGTAGCACAGAAGGAGATTGCCCCTCCTTCTCCAGTGCAGGTTCTGGTGGATTCGAACCATGTAGGGTTGAAGCACAATTTCTTGCCACTAAGTCACCCTTCCTACCAAAGTTTTATCAGCTCAGTGTGTGTTTCAGGATGTAAAAATTGGGGTATGTCAGCTCTCCTTAGTGTCTATTTCCATTTCTCTGTAGTTGGGATACTTTTTTCTTTGTGATTTCTTCCCTGAGTTTCAAAGTTCCCAGGTGGAGACACTTTGTAACTATTAGAACACATAGTGACTCAATTGTTACTTCATTTCATCTTGTGAACTTCATTTGACCTTGTGAACCTCACCTTTGGTCACAGCTCTTTGGTAGGTGACTGGTAGCGTGATGGCTCTGTTAATGTGGACAAACATAGATGAGTTTTTTCACACTTGCACTAGGGAATAGACTTTTTGAGATTGCTATACATTTTTCATTCTTTATTTTATTAGAAAAGTAGTATATGATTATTTTAGAGATATTAGTAAGTATGAATCAACAAAAATAAAAGTCACTCTATACCTGAAATTAATTCCTGCATTTATTTTTTTATGGTTTCAAAGAGTTATGCAGAGCATAATGTTAATGGTTTTGAATCACTGAATATATAATTATTTCTCATTTTAAAAATAACATTTATATAATATTCTTAGGTACATATTATATAAATAAGAAATGAACCCTTATTGACATTTTAAATTTAATAACTAATTTTTTCTAATTTTTGTGATACATGTTCTGTGGCCAGTATTTTATATATCCTTCATATTTTTCCTCAACTAGGATAAATTTTAATTTGGAATTTGTACTTCAAGAGTCTTGGAGCATTTGATATGTTTAATATTGTCTTACAATGTTACTGAAATATAATTGACGTCTCATGAACTGTACATGTCTATGAGGTAAAACTTGTTAAATTCTAATGTGTATTATCATGGAAACCAGTGCCATAATTAAGATAATACCCATTTATAGCCACTCCTTCCTGCCCCTTCCTATAATATACCTCTGTATTCTCAGATAACCACCTTGTTTTTTCTTCACTACAGATAAACTTGGATTTTGTAGACTTTGATGCAGTGGAACCACACACTGTATTCCTTTGTTTGTCTGACTGCTTGTACTTGTTGTTATTATGTGCCATCTAGCCTGCGACTCATAGTGACCCCATGTACAACAGCCCTAAACCCTGCTCTATTCTGTGCAAATCTCACTATCTCTGACACACCTACCTCCATTACCCCAGTCACTGAATCAATCCATCTCATTGAGGGTTTCAATAATTTTAACTGCCATCCATTTCTTTCTTCTAACTAGTTGTGCATCTTATATCAAGTTAGAACTGACCCAAAGCTGACCCTCCAGTGGGTATTCAGAGGCAGTAAATTCAGGGGGAATAGACTGCATCTCTATCATCTGTGGAGTAGCTGGTGGATTTGAACCATGTACCTTTGCATTGGCAGCACAGTTTCTTACCACTCAGTAAATAGTCTGTTATTTGAATCTATCATAATCCGTTCACTTTTAAAGGACACTTGGCTGTTACCAGGTTTTTGGCTTTTACAAATAAAAGACTGTAAAAATTCTTGTACCACTCTTTATATAGACATAAGATGCTCGATATTTATGATCACATTTTGTTTTAGAAGGCATATATAGTTGGCATTATACAAATTATAAAATTTACCATGAGAAAAACTAATTGTAGACACCTATTTTCTTTCTTTACTTTTTGAAATGTATCCTGAGAAGATCTAGATTTTTATATATAACATACTTAGATTAATTTGACCATATTTCTTAAAAATTTGAAATCAGTGTCTTAATAAGTACTGTCAGTCTTTCTCACACTTGAAGCATCTTGTGTCAAGTAAATATATTGTTAAAAAATAAAAAACAAAGATTGTTTTTGCTTTCCTTCATTGAACTAGTGGTTATAAACAGTTCCTGTTTCCCTGCTAAATTTTTATATGTGCATCAAACTTGAATATGCAAAGGTATTGGGATAAGTTTTCAGGATTTTGCAATAGATACTCCAGACTCTGGTTAGGATCTCAAGTATCTTTTTCCTCTTCCCAAGATGCCCGCTCGCCTGAGATAGTACCAGAGAATCTGAAGACTCTAGATGACATCAGAGCGACTTTGCACCAGCCTTCTCAATTTCCTTTCTCAGAAAGCAGAGGCTCAAACTTTGGAGACAGACGGTGAGAATATTTTTCCTGACTGAGTTCTCAAGCCATCATCAATAAGACATTGTTTATTGTCTGTGCAAATTATTTTATTTGGCATTATAGTAAAAGTGTGAAAAAGTGAATAATCAATAGTCCTGCAGCTAAGTAGTTTGGAGGGAAAAAGATAAATATGATCAGATAGCAGAAGTTAAATGTCTTAAGAAAGGCATGAAGAATATTCTTGAGAATCCAGGGATCTAGATTATTTGTGAAGAGAGTGGTGGTGAAGCTTGAAAGGAAAAATGGCACTTGCATTGATGATAATTTTCTCTTATTAAATTCAGTGAAAGGGATTTAAATTAAGTCTGAAATAGTAATCTGATTTTAGATTGGAAGGCTATTACTAATGGAAAAGGGTCTTAAAATTAGTTTACTGTTTTGAGGAAAAGTAAGAGTTATGTTTGGATATAGTAAGTTTATTGGAGTATGTTATTGTTGTATACCATCCAGTCAAAACCAACCTATAGCTGGCCCTCAAGCAGATTTTCAGAGACAGCAAATTACAAGGGAGGAGATTGTCTTTTCTTTTTCACAGAACAGCTGGCAGATCCAAACCACTTTCCTTTGGGATTGCAACACAGTTTCTTACCATTAGACCACCAGAGATCCTATTATAGTGATTATTCTTTTTAAAAATTATATACACTTTTTTTATTCTATATAAAATTTTTACTCTCTTAAATGGCAAATAGTATATATATTTCTGAAAAATGATAAATTATTAACACAGACAGGTGAACAGTGAAACAAAGAGATGAGAGAGTTTTTTTTTTTTGGTTGTTTTTTTTTTTGAAAAGTAAAAGAAAAGATTCTTGAATCAACACTCTTGATCCTGAATATGCTACAGAATATGGCAGGATTCAGGTCTGTTCATAGGATTTCTGTGAGTTGTACTCAACTCAGTGACACCTAGCAACCACCACCACCACCTAAATGCTCTGGTGGCTCAGTAGTAAGGAGTTGTACTGCTAACCCAAAGGAACAAAGTTTGAATTCATCAGTCACTCCATGAGATAAAGATGGACAATCTCCTCCCATGCATTTTACTATCTCTGAGAGCATTCTGGAGGTTCGACTCTGAGTTAGTTTGGACTTGATAACAAACTAGCAACAATAACCACTCAAAAGAATTTGTTATATCTTAAGCTCTTAAACCTTATACAGTTTATAATTGGGCAACAACAATGTATGTTAACTGGAAAAAGGCACAGTGAATGGGGTGTGGGGGGTGTGTGTGTGTGTGTGTGTGTGTGTGTGTGTGTGTGTGTGATTACTTATGAAGACTTTTTTAGAATAGAGAAAAAAAACCCACTGCATTGTTTTGTTTAATTGTCTAGGAAATGGATTGATTCAGTGACTGGCATAATAGGGGTCTGTGTATCAGAGACAATAAGATTGGCACAGTATAGAGCAGGGTTTAAGGCAGTTGTCACTATAAGTTGGCTGCAGCACATAACAACAAGAACAGCAACATGATATTTTAAAAAGAGAGTAACCACTTAGAACCAAATTTATTCTCGTCCTGTAGATAAAATATGATTTACACAGGGACAGTGCTAACATACTATTCTTTATAGTCCAGATTGTATTCAGAAAACTTAGTGAGCAAATTTTTTTAAATCATTCCATTTAAATCCTTACCGTTTCTTAAAATAAGGCCCAAAAAATTTCTAATTATTATTTGGTAAAATTAGTAATAATTTTTAGTTGCTCATCATTGTTCACATAACCATACATTATCTCTAATTTAAATTCTAAAAGTTTTATTTGCAAATGCTCCATTTTAAAATAAAAATGTTGTTTTATACTTGTATTGTTATGTTAAAATTCTGTATTTGTCTGTTTAATAATCTAAAATATGACATTTGATAAAATACTTGATAGTAAACTGTATTTCCAATTTTTAATTTTAGTAAAATGGAAATTTTACCAAGCATACTCCTATAACAACCCACTTTTTCAATGGTCTAATTACACTTTTTCCAAGTAGCCAGATTTAAATAAAGATAGCCAGCCTATAAAGTAAATATCCATAATCAAAATTATTAATGAAGCATGATAAAATTTAGATCATCCTTCCAGATAAAGGAAGAAAATATATTATTTAGAAGGTACATTGAGTTTATCTGGAAATAAAAGATACATTGAGCAATTTGAAAGCATGTAAAAAATGTTAGTAATGACTTTGTAACTTTTATTACGTATCCTAAATATGATTCATGATCTTAAGAAGTGATTATATCAAGTGTGTATTTTCCAGAATGTGTTTTGTTGAACAATCCTTTTTGAATTAGGGACCAGTTACCAAATTAATTTGGAATATTCTGGCCTGACTGGACTGTGTCTTCTCAGTGATCCTTTTAGCCATTTAGTCTCTAGTAAAAAAGGATCTTATGTAACTCAGGAGCCAATGGTTGTTTCTCAGAATACAGTGTAAGATTCTGAACTGATGAGATATTTTGTAAGGTGTGCTCTATTCGTCTGTCAGTACAGTAGCAACATTACAAATATTTAATACATTTTTTTCAGTTGTGGTAGATTTACAGAACATAAATTTTAACCAATTTAGTGTGTATTCCAGTAACTTGAATCACAGTTACAGTGTTTTGCTACCATCACCACTATTTGTTTACAAGGCTTTTTTATCACCCTATGCAGAAACTCTGTACCCTTAAAAAAAATTCTTCATTCTCTTCTCACCTCTGCTTATGGTAAACACAAACTAGTTTTTGCCTCTATGCTTTTAGCTATTCTAAGTATTTCATATAAATCAAACCATGTAATAACATTTGTATATGGACACATGCAGCTTAATGTCTAAATATGCTGTGTGAAATATGGCATGTGATTTGGCTGTTGTGTGAACCCCATATTAAATACAGAAGAGCAGTATGCATGACAGTTACTGGACAGGCCTGGGAAAATTTTGGCTGTGCTGCATTTGGCTCTACTACTTCTGTTTTTTGCATGGTCACTGCTCTGTCTTTTAGAGTTGCGTCCAGGCCCTGCCTGCCTGCCATGGCACACAGTCACTGTTCAGCTGGCTACCTTCTGCCCATCCTCCTCCATTAACTCTTCCTTCTCCTCTATACTACTTTCATTGCTCTTCCACTGCAGTAGCCCAGATGCTCCGTGGCCACCAGCTCAGCCTTTGCTGCTCTGAGAGGAATCTCAGCAATTCTTGCCTAAGGTATACATGGTGAAATAGGCCATGTGGCTTGGCATTGGATTTGCAGGGCTAACTATGGGGACAAATTATAGGGGACCTGAAGGGCTAGTGAGAGACATACAGATCTCCTTACTTAGCTCTTCAGTTAAGATATTTGAACTTTCTTCTGACCTTATGGGACCAAAATGTACATGTGGTCTTGCACTGTCTACATGAATGTTAAGTGACACATGCATTTGTGTCTGTCTTATTTTGGTAACATATATCAAAACTTCGTTCCTTTTAGTGGATGAATAACATTATATGGTATGAATATACCACAGTTTTAAAATCCATTCATTTGTTAATCTGTACTTGGTTTCTTTCCACCTTTTGTTTGTTGTAAATAGTGCTTTAGTAAACATTGCTGTACAAGTATTTGAGTCCCTGTATTCAGTTAGTTTGAGTGTACATCCAAGAGTGGAATTGCTGGGTCCGGCTTAATGCCACTGTCCAAAAGGAGAATATGAAATATTAAAAAGTAGAATATGAAACCTTTCATAAGATCAAACAGTATGAAATTAAGAAATAATTGCCACTAATTTAGTTAGGAAAAAATGTTTGAGCATTCTCAGACTCAAGGATAATCATCAACTAATCAATACAACCTTAAATAGTGTTAACATACAGTGTTACAGACAATGGGCTTGATGCTGGGATGCAGAGTCTAGTTCCAGGAGGAGTGAGATGATACCATTCTCACTGCTCAGGGTGCTTGCTCCCTCTAATGCCTCTGTGCAAAACAAATACTGGATGCTAGTTTCACTTTTAACCTTTTATTCTAACAAGTGAAAATCCTCTGTGGTTCCTTTAGTTGATGAAAACAAGTTATAATGTAGGGTTTTTTTAAAAGCCAAGTGATATAAAGTTAACTTTTAAAAAGCAGAGGCCACCAGTAATTGATTTGGAAGCAGCAATGGCATCTACTTCCTAAACGGCATGCCTCCAGAAACTTTATGAATTTTGATTAATGTCGATAGTTGTATAGGGGCTTCAGGCCTTTTGTTCATAGAGTTGCTATGAGACGTACTCAACTCAAGGGCCGTCGTCATCAACAACCACCACCAGTATTTGATAATACTATGCTTAACTCTCCGAGGAAGCACCAACTGTTTTCTACAGCAACTGCATCAATTCTGTATTTCTTTTAGCAGTGAATGAGGGCTCCACTTTCTCCACATCTTTCCCAATTCTTGTTTTTTTGGTTTTTTTCACTTTTTGTTTCTTTTCAGTAGTGTCTGCCCCAATGAGTGTGACTATCCTAATGGATATTTATTTTATTATTATTAATAATAATTATAATCATTATTTATTTTGTTTGCCTATGTGTCACTAAGAAGATTCTGTGATGTAATCCATAAAGAGTTACACTTCTAACCCATATATTACTTTTTTAGGGTTTCAAATCCACCATTATCTCCACAGGAGAAAGAAACCCTCTGGAGGTTTTTCAGCTATGAATTAGTTCTGACTTTATATCATTTTTAGACATATTTCTTTTAAAGCCTTTTGCCTATATTCTATTGTGGTATTGCTTTGTTGTAAAAATACAGGAATTTAAAAAATATTAAATATAGATTGAATGTGAACTCTTACGAGCTGTAGGTTCTGTAGGTTCTTATTTTACTTTATTAATAATATTCTTTTGTGCATGGTAGTTTATTGTTGATTTATCTGTTTTTTCATTAAAGTTGTATTTTTAAATACAATAGCTTCCTTTTGAATAAAAGCTTTCTTACAAAGTATGAAGTGTTTTTAAACTTTT